TAGTTTATTTAAAAAATTAATTTTTTAAGTGTTAATTCAAAATTTTAAATCATACACTTGACTTATAAGATAACATTTGTTTTTTAATGAATCTAACCCAAAAAATTAGATGATATCATATCATTGATTACATTGATCAATTAATAATGTACATACTTTTAACGTATATAACCTCACAAACTTGGGGGCAAAATTTTAAACCCGGAAGCTCTCATGAATACCATTGTGCCATTCTTCACAGTAAGAAAGCATGAAATTAGATAAATATTTTCCCTGTGAGAGTTTGAAAGTTGCTGAATATAGTTATTCATTCATAATGTATGTCACTTTACATATATATACAAAAGAACCATATCAAAATCATAACTTAACTAACCTTGTGCCTAGAGTCTAGGAGAATTATAACTGTATACAACTATGCTCCTGATTCTAAGGGATTTATATCATATTATTATACCAGTTACTATTTATACTCCCCCTCAAGCTGGTGCATGAAGGTCATGAATGCCTAGCTTGTCCCGCAACAAATAAAAACTATCTTTGCCCAATGCCTTTGTGAAAATGTCAGCTGGTTGATGGAGGAAGAGATGGGTAATGGATAGACAATACTAGCTTGAAATTTCTCACGCACCAAATGACAATCAATTTCCAAATGTTTTGTCCTTTCATGAAAGGCAGGATTAGCAACAATGTACCGAACTGCCTGATTATCACAGTAAAGAGGTGTGGAGTGAGATTGGTAAATACCAAAACTGTGTAATAAATTGCGAAGCCAAATGACCTCCTTAGTGGTAAAAGCCATGGCCCTATACTCGACTTCAATAGAAGAAAGTGCAATGGTATTATGTTTCTTACTCTTCCATGAAATTGGACTATCACCCAGAAAATTAAGTAGCCAGTAATGGATCATCGAGTAAACACATAACTAGCCCAATCCGAGTCCGAATAGGCACGTAAAGCTAAGGAACTAGCAGAAGAAAGAAGAATTCCTTGGCCTGGATTTTTCTTTAAATACCGAAGAGGGCGGAGTGCTGCATCCAAATGAGGTTTTCTTGGTGAGTGCAGAAACTGACTAAGAATGTTTATTGTAAAACATATATCCGGCCTAGTAACAGTGAGGTAAATGAGACGACCCACCAAACGATGGTATTGGGAAGGATTATCCAATAACGTACCATCAGTCGCAGTAAGCTTAAGATTTGTTTCCGTTGGCGTGTCAGTAGTTTGAGAGCCAAGAAGACCAGAATCATCAAGAAGATCCAGAGTATATTTGCGTTGAGATAGATAAATGCCTCGATGGGAGCGAGCTACTTCAATACCCAAAAAATACTTAAGTGAACCCAAATCCTTAATCTTGAATTGACTAATTAAAATTCCTTCACACGAGCAATGAGATCAGGATTATTGCCTGTAAGAACCACATCATCAACATATAATAAAATGAAGACGGTGGAGGAGCCTCGGTCTAGTCCACTACTAAAATTCCATTATTCAGCAACATGGAAGCACATCGGTGAAAGTGCTACCCATGTTGCTGAAAGTACTCTAGCAACATGAAGCATGTTGCTGATGCCTTTCTTGGTGAAGCCATGCTCGGTATTGTATCAGCAACAAGGTCCATGTCGCTGATACTTGGCACCCTCTTCAGCAACATACCTCTTGTTGCTGAAAATAGAGATTTACCGACATGGTTCATATTGCTAAAATATTCACCAGACCGATCACCAAAATTTTTCACCATTTTTAGCAACATATTCCTGGCTGCTGAAACCTAATATCACCGACGTAATTCATGTCGGTAAAAATGGTTACTGGAATTCTCTCCCCATCCGGTGCACTCTTTTCAGCAACATGAGCCATGTCAGTGAAAGTATACTTTCACCGACGTGGCTCATGTCAGTAAAAATGGTTACCAAAATTCTCTCCTCATACTTTCACCGACGTGGCTCATGTCGGTAAATATCATTGGCAGAAGCAAGAAATTGAATTTTTGTACCTTTTCAGCAACATGAGACATGTTGCTGATAGTTCTATCTTATTTTTTTCTTAAAAATTATTGATATTCTCTAATAATTAATATTATGAATTTATATTTCTTAAGT